AAAGTTTTCACGGCAAAAACACTTTGACAGCCACGAAACACTCTATAGAAAGGAGAATTAATGTTCAAAGAAGAATGGACGCTAAGAGCGCTAGTACGCTGTTCGAATTAGAGAGCTGTTTTTGTGGATATCGGTAAAGGGAGCAAATCTATATTGTCAACTCCTGAGATCCAAATGTGTGCCAACTTCAAAGAATTAAAAGATAATTCTTCTATCCACCTTGACTTAAACGAGTTTATTTGGTCAATATCAGAATAAGGACTTTAAAATTTTAATTTTCCGTTGCGCTTCCCTATCTAACAACATTATACTATATTGTGTTAATTTTAAATTTAATTTTATATGATAGATTAAATTTAATAACTAACATGATATGAAGGAATATCATGTCAGTTTTATTGTTTGAATTTATAAGATAAATTTAAATTAGATATGATATTATATATTTTATTTATGAGATAAATTTAATCTAAATTTTGCTTGGCTCTTCAAGAGGAAGGCAAAAACCCTAATCGATACATAATAGATATAAGGGGACATGCAAAATAAGAGTTAGAAAAATTCCAACGGTCAAACACTTCGAGAGCTATGAAACAATCTAAAGAAAGGAAAAACCAACGTTCAAATAAGAGCGAATGTTGGGAACGTTAACACACTGTTTGAGATAGAGAGTTGTTCGTGTGGATACCGATAAAGGGAGCAGATCAATATTGTCAGTTCCTAAGATTCAAACTGTTGAAGAGAATGCACGTGAAGCACGAAAAAAAAGATAACTCTTCTTCCTACCTTGATTTAAATGATTTTGTTTGGTTCATATCAGGATAGAGAATTTAAAATTTTAATCTTCCGTTACGCCTCCTTATCTAACACAACCTACCACCCTACCAACTTCAATCATTTCATCACTGTCAAACTTACAGAAGACAACTACCTTATATAGGGAGCGCAACTAATGCCTTATCTCTATGGGCATAGTTATTTGACTACATTAATGGTTCCATCCTACCACCACCTCCTAGAACACCCTCTAGACTTCTAAATAGAACTTATCTTCAATGGTTCCAATAGGACCAACTTGTGCTTTCCATTTTCATGGCCTCATTCACTAAAAAACTAATCCCTCAAGTCCTTCATCATATTAAACTTTTCATCACCTATGGTTAGCTCTTGAAACTTATTCTCCTAACAAACTCAAGCTCGCATAGTTCACTTCACTAACAGATCACCAATCTTAACAAAAGGGGAGAATCCATCTCTGAATATCACTGACGAGCCACCATTATTACTAATTCACTTTTAACTATCAGCAAACCAGTTGTCGATGATGATTTTATTACTATCTACTTGCAAGTCTTGGTTCTGATTTTAACACTATTGTCACCTGCATCACCACTCAGTGTCAAGCTCTCAACATTAAAGAAGTTCTCAACCATCTCATTGTTAGATATGGCAAAACACCCAAGAGGGGGGGTGAATTGGATATTTAAGTAAATTTCAATTTGTAAATACCCCAAAAGGGGGTGAATTTGTTAATTGAAATTTTAAATGAAGTGTTATAATAATAAGTGAGCTAAAGGAACAAAATCACCAAACATGAGAGTTGATCAAATAGAGCTTGACATAGATGATTTATCTTGATTCAACTCCTATCACTTGAGTCTACATCCAGTCCTTAGGAATCTCTTGAAATTTTCAACTATATTATCAAAATTAATCTGGGCTCTTAGTTGCCATAGTACATAAATAGACCTTTTAATAAGTCTGAAACTCTCCCCCTACAAAGGTAATAATAAATCCCTTTAAGCTCCTCGAGCTTAATTTCTTTTGTTTTGAAGATGTAAAACAGAGATAAACAGAGTAAGTTTAAAAATGAACCACTATTGCTCTTAAACTCTCTTTTAGAGTGGATATATAATCAAGAAAACTCTATCAATAAATGATACACAAAAGGTAGGTAAGCTTTGATACTCAATAAATGCATAATGTTCTTGCAATTTGCGTTTTTTCCTCTTGTTACTGTGTTTCATAATGAGCCTTCTTTATAGTTGAGAATCATAAATGATCCGTTAGACTCAAATTTTTTCATTGGAGGTTGCTTATGATCTGTTTCCTTCTAGCTTTGAATTTCCTTAGATATCCAAGCTTCTCTAAGGTTCTTTGGTGGACTAGCCAATGAAACAGTACTTTATGACAGAGACTCTCTCTTTTATACAGTAATGACTAAAAACATTAAATGCTTCTGACAAAACTGGTTGAAGCTTATACGTTTTGATATAACAAAAGAAAAGCTTTGGTGATTAGAACAAATATTTATAGCTAGAAGAACTTTATGAAGATAATTGTATTTAGATATCATTTGGTAAGGATATAGAGTGAACACAATTGATTATAAATGAAAAGAATGATTAAAAGATGAGTTTTGATGACTTCTAAAAGATATACGAAAAACAACACATAAAGCTTCATAGTAGTATCAGTATTACTATGATCTAGCATCGATATTACAGTCATAAATAGACACAGAAGAAAAGTTTTAGCACAGGTATTGTCCTTGTAGTACTATTGTTATCTAATATGTAAAAGATAAAGATTCTTGATATTTTTGGAAGAATTAAAATATTTTTGAAAAGATTATTTAGCACCAGTGTTAAAAGAAAATAACACCAAAGTAACATATTGATCAAATATCTTTGAAGAATAGAAGAAAGGACAGTGTTGGTGTTAAGATGTTAGCACAGGTGTTGTACAAATTTGAGTAAAACTTAATACACATGCTAACCACGTAAAACAAGTGTTTACATTATAAAAGAGAAATAAGATCGTTGTTGAAAAAATAATACCAATGCAAGAAAAAAGATTCAAGCAAGAGAGACTCAATTGCATAAGTACAAAAAGGTAACACTGGTGTTATAATGAGTAGGACCGGTGTTATATGTACTCAAAATCAATAGAATAGTGAAGATAACAGAGGTAACATCAGTGTTAAGGAATCTAGTACGAATATTATCAACACTTAGAAATATTTTTTGAACAAGACAACTTCAAGTACAAAGAATTATAGTTAAATAAAATACTTAACTAATAAGATAGCATACCTTCTATTCATATAAGCTCTCACTTAATCAATTATAATGTTAAACCAATTATTTCAATTAAGAAAGCTTGAAATGCACAAAACTTTTCTTTATTTTGTAATCATCAAAACTATGGTTCAACACAATTCTTAAACTTTTAAAACTTTTCAGCAAAACTATGTTCAAAGAAAAGTTTAGGTAAATTTGAGTCCTAAACTTTGTGTATAAGAATGCTAAAATTATTTTTACAAGCTCAATATGTGTAATAATATTTAGAAGCAATCTCTAAGTGCAAGTTTGAATGAATGCATGCAGATATATCAAATTTAATTTTACACACTAAAACATAACATAAGCTAATGTTGCTGGAAATATAAAGAGATAAAGAAAGAGAGATTGTAAACAATTAGTTCAACTTCACCTCTTAAGCTTATATCTAGTCTCCAAGAAACACTTGAGATTTATTCACTATATACAAGGTTGAGTGGGTGCTTGCCACCTCAGTACCTCCACAAGTTTAGTTTAGGCACTTATGAGCCTTTATAATAACTCACTTTACTAGTGAGCTTCGTTTTTCAAGAGAACAACCCCTCTTGATTCCAAGTGAAATCTCTCCCTCACCTTTACAAAGGTTTGAGTATGTGAATCATTCAATTGAAACTTTCTCTAAGAGTAATGATGCTTACAATAAAGCTCTAATACTCAAATAATGAAGATATGGATGATATTAGCTCAAGAACAATAATTTTCATATAATAAGAGTAATATGATCATGAATTTCATAACTTACTAATTTCTAAGATTAATCACTTGTTAAGATGAGTTTAGAGTGTTAAATTTATAGCTCATTGAGTAAAATAAGTGTTAGAGACATCATATGATCGTTTAGAGACGTTGCACAGTGATTATAGCCATTAGTGCACAATCTTGTGAGCAACTAGTGCTAATTCACGCAAGAAAATGCATGTGGTAGTGCCCAGAAGATAAATCACAAAGGAACCAAGGTGTCTTCACTTGTGATTTGGACCATAAAGGTTATAAAATCAAAAACAAGGCTTTAGAGAACATTTCACACATGTGTACAAGTTGCTTCACATGTGATTTTGCTTACAGAGGCTATTCAGTGTGAAAATAAGCTTCTAGGTGCATTTTCAAGCATGCATACATAGTGGTTTGATGCATGATTCGGGCACTGATGCTAAATCATGCGTGCATACTAGATGCTCTCACACATGGCTTGGAGGGTTCATAGCACGTGATTTCATAATATCCTAGGTCACCCAAAATAACTCCAAATTTGACAAATTATATATTCATTAGAAAGCTTTTGAATTCTGGTTTTCAATGCAGTAAGACTCCAGTAAGGGTGGATAGAAAAGGTACAACTAAAGACGTGAAGTGGAAGATTAGTCTTAATATGAGAAGTAGGGTATACCTTGTGTTGTTTGTTTAGGGGTGATTTGTAAGATAATACATGACTTGACATTCTATTTATGAGATAAGTAGTAATGAGAACAAAATCCCCTTATAAGTACTTTGGAACATTACAATTAAATATTAGAGCTACTGCCACCTCTAAAACATGTTTGTTTTTCCTCTCGTCTCTCTCATTTTGTTGGGGGATATGCGCACAAGTAGTTTGGTAAATGATGCCACGTTCTTAGAGGAACATACTCATAAATTGGTTAAAGTGTTGACATTGTCAATACATAAAATTCAAAAAGTAGATTGAATTTGGTTCTTAATCATAGCATAAAAGGTAGGGAAAACAAATAAAGCTTAATACTTATCCTTTAACAGATAGACCTAACAAAGATTGGTATGATCATCCATGAAAGTAATGAACCACTTATTATTAATATAATTGGGAACCTAAGATGATCCCTACACCTCACTATGCATAGTTGTGAAGGGTTTGGTAGGTGTATACTAGGCTCTAGGTAAATGAGTTCAATGGTGTCTAGTGAGTTCACATACCTCACACTAGATTTCGCACTTATTTTGGTTCAGGCATAGATTTGAAGAACAGTCGTTGAAGGTAATGGAAATTAAGGTGACCCATCCTCTTAAGTCATAATAGAAACTCATTATTGTTTACGGAAGATACAGAGTTACTTACAATATGTGAGTGTTGACTACTTACTCAAGTAACTTTGAAGTAGTATAGCCCTTCATACTCCTTGCCACTGCCAATTGTCATACCAATCGATAGATCCTAAAATACAGTGTGAGGGGAGAAATTTAGCAAAACAATTAGACTATTTGATCAATTGACTAATCTAAAGTAAATTATAATAAGTTTGGGCAATGAAGGACAAATTCTAATATTATAGAATTTGAGATATGAATACTCCCTTTTTTGGCAACCAAGGCCAAAGAACCATTTGCAATCTTCATTTTAACATCCCACATGAGGAATGTAAGTGGTAAACAACTAATGACAACTGGTTATATGGTCAGATGCACCTAAGTCAACACTCTAGACCGTTGAATCTTGGGATGTCTTTAGTGCTTAAAGGAAACTCTCCTTTTTTGCTACTAAGGCTCCAAGTTTAGGTTTAGTCACATGCATCTTAGTGGTTAGGAGTACCCACGTTACCACTCCTAAGAATGAAAAAATTTCCTCATAATAGAGAGGTATAAAAACCACAGCTCTACACAAAAAGAGCTGCAACACAGAATGAGAGACCCATAACGAAGCAAGGTTGGAAAAGAACTCCCCTAACTAGGGAAACATCAAGATTGGGCTGGAAAAGTCACACCATTGATGGAAGAAGGTGTCATTGCCAAACACGCAGCCACACATCATTAGGCGACCTCTATTGCAGAATCTACATTCACCACCACCATTCACCTTTGTTTCTAGGGGTTTTGCTAATCAAGCCCTAGTGCTCCTCCCTAGGCTCTCTACCATCACGAGATCAATGGCCAAAGACACTCTACAGTTGTCATCTTACGAAACCTCGCAAAAAAATAGAGACGCACAAACCCTATACATACAAAGCCAGAAGCTCTAATACCATGTAGAAATACTGGAGAGAAAAAATTGTATGTCTCATTACTTGATTCCTTCAGATAGAATGGAAGTACATTTATACAATCAGGTACATAATATATAATAAATGCAATACAATCAATGTCATAAATATGATAAAATTGATTCTGATTTTCATATCAATTGAAATCAAATTCAAATTTTCCACAGTTGTTTATGTTGATGATATAGTCATTATAGGGAATGATATAGGGGAGCCAAAGAGCTTGAAGAAAGCTCTAGCGACTGAATTTGAGATCAAAGACCTAGAGAATATTTTCTAGTTATGGAAGTTTAAGGTCCAAACATGGTATAGTGGTTTCCCAAAGGAAGTGCACCCTTGATTTAAGGAAATCCGAATGATGGGTGCGGAACAGCACGAACACCCATTAGGATGAATCTAAAGTTGGGCTGCAAGATTGTACATTGGTGAGAAAATAGAGATATCAAAGCTCGGTGGATAAAATAATCTATCTAGTTCACATAAGACTTGATATACCCTATGTTGTGGGAGTGGTAAGCTAGTTTACAAGTGCTCCAAATAAAGAGCATATGACTGCTGTTTACAAAATATTACGTTTTTCGAAGGCAACACTAGGAAGGGGTTTGTTCTTCAAGAAAGGTAGCCGGAAGAGAATTGAAGTTTATGCTTATACAAATTGGGCAGATCTAAGGTTAACAGGGATCTACTACAACTTATTGCACATATATCTGGGGAAACCTTGTTACCTAGAGAAGCAAAAAACAAACAGATATGTCTCAAACTGAACTTAGGACGTTGGCTTAAGGGATATGTGAAGGCATATGGCTTGACAGAGTATTCAATGCGCTGAAAATAGCCCATGAAGCAGCTCATGAAGGACCAATCTATCATGCGATAACACAACAACTATTAAAATTATTAAGAATCCTATTCATCATGACAAAACAAAGCATGCAGATATAGACTGACATTTCATCAAGGAGAAGATTGATAGCAAGATAATTGGTGTTACTCATAACTCCACCCAACGGCAAATGACTAATGTGCTCGCCAAAGAGCTATCCAAGGCTATGTTTGAAATTTTAACATGCAAGCTGAGAATGATGAGCATCTATTCTCTAATTTAAAGGGGAGTGTTGTATTTTTATTTTTAATTCAAATTTCAAACTTAAGATCAAATCTGATCATACCAGATCTTAGAATTAATTAGTTTTAATCTTTATTTTTTTATATCATATATGATTATATCTAATTCTCTCGTTAGATATGATCATATCCAATTCTCTCAACAGATATCATCATATCTAACCATTTCCCTCACCCTATTTCCTTATGTGTACCTGTACATACTCTAAATAAAAAATTTGAAGCTGAGTTATCAATTACTCAACCAATTTCTTCAAATGAAAAGAAATTTTTATTGCAAAGTGAAATAAGGATGCATCCAAATTTTCTTCTCTCTCTTCCATCTTGATTTTAACACGCCACACAAACTCCTTCTTCTTTCTCCAATGCGCGCGCACACACTTGATGCACCAACATATATATAGCAGTGTTTGGTGCCTTGAAGAGCCAATTTATTATTTTTTATCGCTTCTAGTTTTCTCTCCACGTATTTCCTCCACCGCTCCACGTGCAGGCAGAAGAAATAAACACTAGATGATAATATAGGTAGACAAGAGAGGTCTAGAATATTAGGAGGGAGAGTCAGCGATCACAAGATTTAAATAAAAAAAGATTGCGTTTAAAATGATATTTATTTTCTATTGTATTTGCTGTAGAATAATCGAAACAAGGCATTGTAATGTAAGAAGGGTACTGCATTTAAACTGCAGGGGAAAAAATCCTCAAACAAGCATTTGATCATTTGTAGATACAAAACATCAGTAAATCAATACTGTAAGTAGAAAAAAAAAAATTCCTGATTTCTAAATGAGTTAATCAAAACTGTAAGTAGAAAGGAAAAATGTTGATCTATAAGAGAGAATTTATCAAAATAAGATTGCTTGAATAGAGAATGTATAAATAGGGAATCTGTCAAAATATGATTGTTTAAATGAAGAATATAAATGCTTAACGAAAAAATACATTGCCAATGGTTAAGGAGGATTAAAAAGGGGAAGGAAAAAAAAAAATCAAGCGGGCCACTTCCAAATAAAAAACCTGCGCATTAAATGGTTCACCCCTTCCAGAATCAACAATGCATCCTATTATCTGCTCCACCGGATCCTGTCTCTATAAATAAAGCATTCTATCAAGAATGGCACCATAGCTGCAACAAATCAAAGAGCAAACAATCACAAATCGAAATAGAGCTGCCCAGAACGCATTATATTCTACTTAATATACCAGTCATTACCACTTAGAAATTATGTACAAGTCAAAAGGCACGAAGCCTATGGAAAGAGCATGAATAAGCAGATTACCTAAATGTAAGCCTAAGCTATCGGAATCACTTGTTAGTAAGTCTCGCAGAAAAATTATCTCCCACCAGTGGACGAAACTGACCAAACCGAACACCACCTGCAAAAATTCAGAATAAAGTTTACAAAAATAATTTTACAAATCATCATTATATCCTTTAGTGAAACATTAAAAAAAAAAAAAACAAGAAGGAGAAGAAAGAAAGAGGAATAGATGTGAAAGCATAAAGATTTTACAGATTCAAGACTTTAAAAAAAATTAAAAATAAAAAATAAAAACAGAGAGCATAGTTCCCAGTTATTGACGAATTAAAGTTCAAGAACCATACCATGTAGGTTGCTGCACCATCTTCAGAACATGTGAATGAAGATCAATCTTCTTGGCAGCTACGTTGACAGACTGGAGACAATGCTCGCCAAGTTAGAGAGGACAATTTCATTTCCAGGATTGCAGCAACAATCTTTTAGGCGATAGTCTTTATCATCTCCAATAACACCAGTTCCAATTGAAGTGAGTTGCATGAAGAAAAAATGAGGTAGAGTATCAACTTGATATTCAGAAATGGAAGAGATGAGAGGGGCAGAAAAAAAACCAGAAAAAGGAATCCATTTTGAATTTTGAAATTCATGAGAGGGAATTGAAAAGGCACCTTTTATTTTGGATTTTGAAATTTGAAAGAAGAGTGAACTAAAATTTAAAAGAGAAGGAAGTCAAAAAGTACCAGCTTCCATTTTGGATTATAAATTTGAAAGAAAGGGAAGTGAAAAAGAGATCAGCTAATGCAAAGGCCTAGTAGTCATCACTATTCACTTCTATAGTTAAATGTGAGAGGATCCATCGCAGTATCTGTAGCTCTGCGTGGCTCCATAAGATTTAAAGGATATATTGACTAACTACCCACCAACCTAAATGCTCTACAATACAAGGGACAATTTGTATCCTGGAGACAACAAAGATGCGAAACTGCATTTTTCTATAATATATTACAGTAGACATAAATTTTCATTTTAAAAATAATTTACAAAGTGTGACTAAAACTACTTACTAGACTTGATTCAGCCAATTGGATCGAATAGTTCTTTAGAACTCATCAGATTCAATACGGTATCCAAAAGCCACTACAGTTCCATTGCACAATCATTTTCAGACCTCATGCAATCTTAAATAGCTCTAACACACTCTTGCAGTTCAGAAACCCTAATGATGTTCGCACCTACATCTTGTGTAACATTCTAATTTTTAATTTAGGGATTTATTTGAGGGTTGAAATTTGATTAAGGTTAACTGAGGTTAATTGAGTTGTTTAGGCCTTGTAATTGTAACTCAAATTGGGCCTAGGGTTAATTATTAAGGCTGAAGAGGGTCCAAAATAGGATAATCAGCCAGATTTGGGCCCAAACGCATGGGCTAAGGTTGAGTGGTGCCTCTATACTGTGTGCCATGACACACGTGTCCAAATTTTAAATACTCTAGACTGTTCAAAACAAAAAGACAGGAAGGAAAATAGCAAGTTTGGCTGCGAAATGAGTGTGCTCTACTTGGGTTTGGAGGTTCCCACCCCTAGGGCACAAATTTGCGATTCCAAATGGCAAAGGTAACCCTTCTAACCTCTCTTCTACTTCCTAATCTTCATCTTAAGCAAGTTTGAGTTGGGAAAATGTTAGGGTTTGGGTCTGAACTTAAGCATTTACTTGAGGACAAATAAGTGTATACTAGATGATTTTGATAATAGGTATTGTAATGGATAGGTTAAATCGGAACCCAGATTTGTTTGGGTGAGCTATGAGTAAGATTTTAATCATGGATGAATAAATATGGGTATTAAGGCTAATGATGGTAGAAAATACTAAATTTGAATGTTGACTTATAAAGGAGAGTGTTTGGGTGTTGAGCTTAATTAACCTAACTGTAGAATGAGGGTGAAATTAGTGTTTTGAGCTCGATATTAACTATGCTTTAGTGTTTTGAGCTTGATATTAACTATGCTTGGCATTGGAAATTATGTAGATTGTGTTGTAGGTAAAGGCTATGGTGATCTACCACTTGTCAAGGGAAGTATTTTGCTAAAGAACAAAGGTAACTTTACTAATTTGTGATTTTGTGCGTGTAATTGGTTGTTGTGTGCTTGTCTTGTTTGGAAATATTGTTTGGAAATGGAATATGATGCTTTGTTTTGTGAAAATATTGCCAAGTGGGATGAAAACTATGTATATGTTGAGTATGAAATAAACGCATTTGGAAGCATAATTTAATTGTTTGGAATTGTAATTATTTGGAAATCTTGTACGCATGACTTGTTCAGGTTTGGAAAAGTGCTCGGAGAATTTTATCGTTCGAAAATTGTCTGGTGACATGGGGAATGCCCTCATTAAACCCAACAAGAGGCTTGTTTGAAGAGGTTGAAATATTTTAAGTATGCATGAGATCTATGACAATGTTGGAAAAGCTTTTAAATCATCTTTCATATGAATTGTATTTGGTGGTTATAACCCAACAAGTGGATTTAAGTGGTTATGCAAGTATAAATTTTGTGATGATTTGAATGAGTCATATAGTGTAATTTGGATGTTGTCAAATGGTCCCTTGTCTAGAATTGGCTTTGGGGTTGAAAAAATAGCAGTTGTTTGGATAAAATGGTTGTTTTGTCTCCACAATTGTATTTTGTAGAAAAAATTACCATATGTTGGTATTTTTATGTCAAACCAAACCCAATAGCTAGTTTTCTTCATAAGCTCTATGTAGACACTTGAATCACTCAATTTGAAGTTGTATATCGAAAGTAATGTATCTTTAAAGTTAACTTTACTGTTCATTCTGTCAAATTTGCTGGCAGAGCATAGCAGCGCATGACATAGCAAGGTATTGCCCCCGACTTGTCTTCTCTATGTCGTCCGTCACGGCACATGATGTGTTAGCAGCAGTGCATGGTGACGTTTTTCCATGTATGTCCTTGTTCTTAAATTTTGCTTCTAAAATGGTCTTTTTGACATTTCTACCTTGTACAAACTTGTTTTTTGGACACTTTTATCCCTGGGAACCCTGCTTCAACACTAATTAAGACTTATCTCAATGTTTTGGAGTTTTAATCTCACCTTGTATAGGATCCTATTAGATACACAATTATTTATTTAGTATACTCTTAAATTACCATTGTAGGTTTAATTTGTGATGTTTAATTCTTTCTAATATGGTAGTCCCTTTTCTATCGTGGCAATTGGCACTAGTACAAAATATAAAATTTACGGGGTACTTTTTACATCGGTTGGAAGGCAAACGGTGTAAAAAATAAAGGTAGTGGCATTTTTGTAATTATATTAAATTATTTGACACTTTTTACACCGGGTGGCCAAGCACCGGGTGTAAAAAATGTTTTTTAAATTTCTTGTCTCCTTCCTCTCCATTCAGTTCTCTCTCGCGCCCTCCCCCTCATCTCCACTCCCTCGCTGACACCCCTCCCCCTCGTCCACCCAGCCCCCTCCCCCTCCCCCTCCCTCAGCCGCCCCCATCCCCCTTGTCCCCCCCCCCCCCCCCCCCCCCCCCCGCCCTCTCTCTTGCCCCCCCTCCTCAATGCCTCTACCCTGCCACCACTCCTTCTCCCTTCCTTACTCTCTTAGTGTTGAGCCATTGTTGCAGTTGCCACACTCAGGTATGTGTTGAATATGAAATTTTAAATTTTATAATGCTTAAATTTAGTTTTTTATGATATTGATTGTTGCTGGAAGTGTTATTAGTGGCTTCATAAGGCCTCAGGTTGTTGCATGTGATCATTTATTTGGTTTAAAATTGTCAATTTTCTAGTGTAAAATTTTCTAAAACTTTTGATAAGTCTAATTTTTAGGGGAGACTCTGTCGAAATTTTTTTGAATTCATTCTTTCTTCTAATTTGCTTAAATTTAGTTTTTAATGATATTGATTGTTACTGGGAGTGCTGTTAGTGGCTTCATAAGCCTCAGATAGTTGCATGTGATCATTTATTTGGTTTAAAATTGTCAATTTTCTCTTATAAATTTTTTTTAAAGCCTTGGGAGATCCAATTTTCAGGAGAGACTTTGCCAAAATTTTTTCAAATCTTAATTTAATTAGGAACTTAGTTTCTTGAAATAGTTTGAAGGTAATAACATTAGTTATATTCTTTAGGAGGTGACACATGGATCGTAGTTGGATGAATACTAGACGAACGAGTGACGAGTATGATAATGGAGTAAAAGAATTTTTGAAATTTGCTAAGAAAAATGCTGTTGACAATAGTGAAAGGTTCTATTGTCCTTGTATTAATTGTTTAAATGAGAGGAGACTAGGTATTGCCGAAATAAAAGAGCACTTAGTTTGTGATGGGATTTGCAAAAATTATACAATATGAATTTGGCAGGGTGAACGATTGAAAAATTATAGTAACACATCTCAATGTGTGGGAGTGGATAATCTTGATGATGAAGTAGAAATGAATGAAGATCGGTTAGAGGATATGATCCATGATGTTGGGGAAGAGGCTTGTGAACGAGCACATGTGTATGATAACTTGTGCACTGACGCAGAGAAGTCTCTATACCCGGGGTGCACTATTTTAGTTTGTTATCTGGGGTGTTAAAACTAGTTGCCTTAAAGGCAAGAGCTGGGTGGAGTGACCAAAGTTTCAATTTTGTTACTTTTAGACATGTTTTAATTTTGATAGTTGACACAATTTAGACAATTATTAGTTTTTCTAATAGTTAAATAATTTTGTATAGTTGATAAATACTTAATAAACAATTGTAAATGAATTGAGCTGTCTGATTTGGCAATTTTTATGCATAGGAATGGCAATTTTGACAATTTAGACAATTATTAATTTTTTTAATAGTTAAATAGCTTTGTATAGTTGATAAATACTTGATTAACAATTGTAAATTAATTGAGCTATTTGATTTGGCAATTTTTATGCACAGGAATGGGTAAAATCAATAAAATGAATATAGTATAAAAAAATAAAATACTTTTTACATCGGTTATTACCATAACCGTTGTAAAATATAATATTTTTTACATCGGCTATGATAATAACCGGTGTAAAAAGTACACTTTTAACACCGGTTGGGAGCCCAACCAGTGTTAAAAGTTAAAGTAAATTTTTTTTTATTTTCTTGTATATAATTTTCAACATCAGCTTTATAACCAATGTAAAAAATTTAATTTAATTTTTACATTGGGTTTATAATCGATATAAAAAGATGGACTTTCTACACCCCCTGAAACAACATCGTCTCTTTAACAGCTGTAAAAAGTCATTTTTAATCACTGTAAAAAGTCATTTTTAATCACTATAAAAAGTCATTTTTGTACTAGTGTGGCTTCAAGTTATTTTATTATTAATAGGAGCTTCAAGAAGACATTACTCAAACTCCAGAGCAGCATATTCTAAGCATCTTTAGCTCTATACATCTAATGTCAGAGAATCTGGCAATAGTGTAAGAAAGAATTCACGCTGACAGTGATCAAAGAAAAACATGCTTACCAACGTAGAATATCAACTCTAAAAGGTGCACACACTCTAAAGATTGATCAAATAATTGAAGCGTGCCAGAATAAAAGCCCAATTCTGTAGCCTTATAGCATTCTGTCTATAGATTGATCACTGGATGCACAATGCTGGAAGCGCTGCAAATCTCAGGATGAATTTTTCTCAATTATCATTGTTAATAGCTTATCATATTCAGCACACTTCGATAAACTATCATCATCTTTGCGGCACTTGACTTTTGCTGCATGAGAAATTCACTCTAGGCCTAGCTCACTTTATATTACCTTGGAGTGACTCAATTCCACCTCAAATGAGAGTATTTGATATTTTCAATCCTGACATAAGCAAAGATTTCCCGTAGATACTGAAGTTGATTCTTGAATAAAATAAATCCACTTCCATGCCAAATGCAAAAAAGTCTTGAGTGCTCCTTCGGTCTTCCCCCCAATTTTCTCATCCTCACAAGACATTATTGAACATTTGAGGACTCAGGTGCCTAAGAATTGTTGTAGCTGCAGTTTCACGTAATTTAATTATCTGTAATATGCCTACTACACCATTTCTCACTCATTCTTTCTTTTGCTAAGAACCTTCAACAGCCTTTTAGCTTCAGACCTTTTTCCCGGCTTTGAAAAGTGATAACTCATGGATGAAAGGGTGCTCTCAGATGGCACATATCCTTTTTCATACATTTCTCTTAATAATCTTTTTGCCTCAGACTGATATGACAATTTAAGTGCCCTATTCAGCTCTGGCTGATTGGACAATTTGAACCACCCAGAAATCAAAATATCATATGTTGAAGAATTAGCAGTTCTTCCTCTTGACAGCATCTCATTCAACAATTCTCTAGCTTGGCGCATCTTTCCTGCTTTAGCATAATCATAAATAAGCACATTATAGGTTCCAGTGTTGGGAACAAAACCTTTGTTTATCATTTCACAATAAAGCTTTATGGAGTCCAATTTGTTTCCAGCTTTACCATGGCTAGAAACCAATATATTATAAGTAGCAGCATTTGGAGCAAGTCCTCTTTCCTTCATCTCACTAAGCAAGTCATCCGCTTCTCCCATAGAACCAGCAGTTGAAAGACCCCCTAAAAGACAATTGTAAGTAGTAACATTTGGAGAGATTCCATCAACCAACATCTGTGAGTAAGTAGCTAATGCTTTATCCACATTGCCACTTATGCAGTAACCACGGATAAAGGCATTGTACGTTACAGTATCAGCTAAAATTCCTCTTCCCACCATTTCATTAAGAACAGAAGTTGCTTTAATAGTCATCCCTAACCTGCATAGTACAGTGATAAGATTGTTATACACTGTTCTATCAAGTTTGAGTCCCATATCCACAAGTCTCTTGTGAATTTGCAAAATTGCATCTGCTTTCCTACCCATTGAAGATGCTTCAAGCAGAAACTTATGATCGTTAGAGTCAGGTGGAAACTCCATAACCAACATTTCATTCAAAACATCCAATGCCTTTTCAATTGCCCCAGTTTTACAAAGCCCAAATATCAGAATTCTGTAAGTGGTTGCATTTGGCATTATCCCATGGCTCTTCATCTCATTCAAGAAATTCAAAGCATTTTCCATGTTCCCTTTTCTGCAGTATGCATTAATTACAGTGTTATATGTAGCACAATTTGGAACCAAACCCAACTCTAGCATAGTTGAAAACACAGACTGAGGTTCATATTTCCCCAACCTCAGAAGGCCATTGATTAAAGCATTGTAGGCAACAACATCAAGCTTTATATGTTTGTCTTCCATTTCCTGGAGTACACATAGGGCTGCTTTGTCATTTCCTTCTTTGAAGTAGAGATCCATTAGAGAAGTGTAGTTAAACAAATCTGGTGAAAGATCCCTCGAGCACATATCTTGCACTAATGACTTAGCATCATCCATCCTTCCAAGTCTTTTTAAGTTGTTCAATAGAACATCAAATATTATATTATTTTCCTTCAATCCCTGTGATTGCATTTCCTTATAGAAACCAAATGCAATTTCTTGTTCGCCTGCTTTGAAATAGCCATCTAATAAAATTGCATAAACAAAAAGATTTGGCAAAATATTTTTTTTGACCATCTTCCTTAACACATTAACAGCTTCACTAAGCATTCCCTTTTTAACATATCTGTTTATAATAGAAGAATAAGTAACAACATTTGGAAGAATATGTTCCCCATCCATTTTTTGCAAGAACGAATCTGCACAGTCCATGTTTCCTAATTTGCAATACCCATCAAGGAGTGCAGAGTAGGTCACACAGTTTGGAATAAGATTAAGTTTTAAAATAGTTTGGAACATATCCTCAGCCTCTTTGAGCTTTCCAACCTTTAAAAGACCATCCATTATGGTTGTACACAGAACTAGATCAAAGGAAATGCCCCGAACAACCACCTGGCTTAGAAGATTCAAAGCTTCCACTAACATTCCTGATTTGAACAAGTAGTTAATAATGATAGAGTATGAGATGTGATTAGGATTCAAACACATTTTATTCATCTCCTTCAATAACAGTGCTGCTTCATTTAATCTTCCATGTCTACAAAGCCCATGAAGAAGAGAACTACAAGTAACCACGTCAGGAATTATCCCATTCTTAATCATTTGCTTGTACAGAGAAAAGGCCTCTTTAATTCCTTGTTGCTTGCAATGTGCGGTGATTAACATAGTATATGTTGTGAGGGTTGGATGCAAATCTCTGTTCCCATCTAAATTTTGCATACCATAATTTTCATACTGCTCATATTCTATATTCGTTTGACAGCCAAAAATCTCATCAGTAAGAGACTTGGCCCTTACAAGATTACCCATTTTGCAAAAAGCATTAAGAAAAGTATTATAACTAACAATATCAGGCAGAAGACCATCCCTCCATCTATTCTCCATCAAAGCCAGGGCACGACTCATTAACCCAGCTTTACAATATCCATCAATTAAGGTGTCAAGACCAATAATGTCCAGTGGAACCCCCCCATCTACTAAATTATGCATCACCCACTCTGCATACTTTACCAATCCAATTCTGCAATACCCTTTAACAAGTATATTGCAAGTAAAATGATCGATGCAGATGCCCTTTTTAACCATTTCAGATAACAGCCCAAAACCTTGATCTGCTAATCCTTGGGAACAGAAACCCCAAATGATGATGTTATAGGTAACAGTATCAATTACATTTGTCTTGAGATATCCTAAAGCCAAATCCAGATTCCCTGCTTTGCACAGTGAGTGAACCAATATATTAACACTGTAAACACTTGGCATAATCCCACACGAGACCATATTAGAATACAGAACTCTTACCTGAGAAACCAAGCCTGCGACATTGAATTCGCATAAAAGCCGGTTCCACATAGGCAATGTAGGAACAAGACCAAGACTTCGCATATAAAAGAAGGCATCAGAAGCCCTGACAAACTTTCCACATGCCAAGTATAGGCGAATGAGAGTACAAAATAATGAAGCATGGAGATGCATCCTTGTTGGTGAGATAAAATTCACAACTTTATGGGTATGGAAATTGCAGCTTCTACAAGAATGCAAGTTTTGATGGAAGCAGCTTATCAAAGGGTAGCCTTCAAAGTAATGCGGAGAGCCAAATCTTCTTGTAGTCCAGAAAAGGAAAGGAAGAATCTTCGTTTGCATCTTGAGATGCCTTATCTCGGATGCCATGGAGACTCAAAATATTGAAAGGCTGAGAAGAATTGCACATAAAAAGATTAGGCTTCAGAAGAGAGCAAAGCTGGTGAATTATGAGTGTCAATTGTTTCCGTTACTATCAATGGCTAGTATAGTTTATTTTCTCCCCCTGTTTATGTTCATTGTGGCATATTAATATGATAATCGTAAAATAAATAAGAAATCATATAGGGGTGTTTGTTAGTGACTGTTGAAAACCTTATGTCTATAAAGGGCAAGGAGGTCGATTTATTAGGCAGGTCATTTGCATAAAGGGAATTGAATCCCTTGCACGTGCTCTCTCGTGTCTCTATCTATCTGTTTGTGAATTACTTCGCTGGTTTTGTGTTGTCCCCAAGAACAAAGCCATAATATTTCAAAAGAAAACAAAAACCAAAAAGGTGTACTATCAATTCTGTGAGTAGCTGACCATTCAGATCTCAAATCTTGTACCGCCAAACTCGTGTTCCTATCCATCTATTTCTAAATTACACCGCTGGTTTGTATTGTCCTTGAGAACAAAAAGCATAATATTTCCAAAGAAAACAAAAGCCAAAAAGGTGTAATATCAACTCTGTGACACTAAATTTCAGCAAAGTCTAAAAGATTGGCATCCCACTCATTTAATAATAGTCAAATTTCACAATTCTATTCAAGAAGTTAACTTAAATATATCACTTCCAAGTTCAATCAAATTAAAGCTTAACGAAAATAATATAAGCATTCCACCATTCAATCAAATCTTAAACAAAATAATATCAGCATTCCACCATTCAAAGATTAAGAAAAAGAATAAAAGAGTGAAACTATCGTCCGATCAATTAAGAAATCTGAAATTACATCTTAATACACACAGTTCATGCATTCACATCCGAGCGAACCCAAAAGTTCAAGATGCATTTGTTTAATCTGTCTTCATTTCCATCATACTTTGTTCATCCACAATTGTCTTTCATACCATATCGAAGTCTACATATGAAATAAATTTTGTAAAAAAAAAAAAAAATTAACATACCAGAATCAAAGTAGCAATAGGAAATGCACAAAGGAAGGAGAAGCAAAGAGGAGTGGCGGTCGACTCGCATTACCGATGAATTGAACGGGACGAGGTTCGAACAGGAACCTGACTTCAAATGGGCGGCGGAATCAGATCTGGATTGCGCCGAACTGATGGGGACGAAGAGCTGACGCGCAAGGACGAACTTCAAAGCGGATCGGAAGGGACGAACTCCGACAGTGACGCGCTGATCGGACTCGAGACTGGAACGCACGAACTGACGGGAAATCACGGACGACCGGGGTTGCTGTGTTCTCGCGGGGAGCAACACGTCGGAGCAACGGCGAACCCGCGAGCTGACAGCGGCGAAGCAACAGATCCTTCACCTTTTCTCGAGATCATTTCTTTTTTTTTTTTTTAATCAACCTATGGGGTATTTTTAAGAGAGAATTTCAATTCGGGGACCACTGTACGCATTTTCTGTTCACATCCAAACAATTGTGAAATAACATGCTCAAAATACATAAATCAAATAAACTTTCTTAGTTAAATAATCAAAATGCCCTCAATTTAAACAGAAAAAAAAGTAGACCAGAGAGAAGTCAAGAAAAAATCACCTAATTCGATAGGACTCTATATATCAGCAAAGAAAAGCTTGAAATTCAAATCTCATGACAATTTTCCTATTATGGTTTGAGAAATTCGCAAGCAAAACAAGATCGTCGTTAAGATACTCCTAGGAGTTGAAGTGCCCAATGTAGCGCTCGTATTAGGGATGTCAAAAATACAGTTCCATGGTTTGGTTGTGAGGAAGATGACTAGTGCCGCGATTTCGAAGACATTGAGGACAACGTTAACTATGAGATACAAAACCACAACAAAGCTCAATGAGAGATTAGTTGTAATAACTAATTGTGAAATCAAGGTTTATTGAGGAATTTTAATTGAGAAGTGATAATATTTTAAGGTTTCATTAAATATTAAATTTGTAAAGGTTGTTTGAGGTTAAACATATATATGGAAGTTAAATAAGGTCTAAAATAGGTATTAAGCTAGACTGGGGCTAAATAATGGAGCCTAATTAAGTGTAGTGTTATTGTATTGAGCATTACGACACCTGATACATATGTCGTGGCACATGGATGAAATATGCACTTGATGGCTGTTCAAAAATCAAACAGAAGAAGAGAGAAAATAGTGAGGGTTTGGTGTAAAAATTTAATGTTATGCTAGGGTTTGGTCAAGAGAATTCATCATGCGCAATTTTTGGCTTCCAAGTGACTAAGGTAACTTCATTGATATCTTCTCTACCCTCTTGTCTTCCTTTTAAGCTATTTTTCACTATGGGCGAGTTAGGATTTTTCGTTTTTGTTGGTACCCCAGCCACTAGATCCAAAATTTATAGGTTTTTAAGGTTAAATAAGTTTAGTCTAAGTTGTTTGCATATGGTTTGAGGTGATGGAAGGATTAGATCTAAAACCTTAGCTTTGGTGAAATGATTTGGGTTATGTGAAGGTGAAATGAGGGTTTAGCACCTTATTAACTATAGTTAATACTGTATGGTATGTAAATTATAGTAGAAACACCGAGGAGGGTAAATATGCTCTTGTATAGGAAGTTTTAATTGCCAGAAATCAAGGTAACCACTTTTAATATGTGATTATGCATGCTTTGTGATTTATTATGTGTGTTTGTTTTGTTTGGAAATGAATGCATTGAAAAAAGCATGTTTCTATTGTTTAGAAAATAATTGATAAGTGGAATGATTATTGCACAGGTAAAATATATGTATTTTGTTTGGTTATGAATGTTGTTAAAAACATATAAATCGTTCGGTTATGTTTTTGTCTACTTGTTTAGAAGCATGACATGCTTGGTTTTGTTTGGAAAATATGTGTTGTCTAGTTTTTTTTTTTTTTTAGAGTTGATATTCTACCATGTGGTAAGCCCTTATTGGACCTAATGAGTGACTACTAGCTTGGACTAACCTACTTTTGGCCAGGTGATTTGGTTCTAAAAATGGAGTTTGGAGGGATATAACATATTGTCATGCTAAAATGTAAATTGTTTGGCTTTTGTCTAGATATTTATTGTTTGGAAATATTCTTGTATGCCTTACTTAGTAATCACATGATAGGTTGCATTGCATACATAGTTGCACATTAATCTTGGTTATTGAGGCTTTTAAGTTTCACTCATCATGGTTAATAATGTTACAAGAAATAGTTAGGTTGGGGAAGCACTAAAAGCTTACCTTAGTGTATGATTTGACACCATTTGGCCTATTTAGCCATTTTTGATTTAGTTTATGTACATTTGCCAACTTTAGGGCATTTGAGTTATTATTGAGCATGTGACTCTTATCATTGTGATGAAAACTTGTTAAAGGCCATGAGCTAGTTTTGTGACAATCATGATTTTTATATTGTGATTAAGAAGTGTTGAGTTTTTTTTAAAAAAAAATGATAATTGTGTTTTCATCAATATATTGCATCTCACATATATATATATAACTGTGTTGGGTGACTATAACTCAACTATGGAAAAGTTTATATGCAAGTGTCGTGTGATAGAGAGCTATTGTTGTTTGGCATATGTTTGAGTTGGTAAGTGCCCCACACTATGAGTTGAAGCTTTAGTATCGGTTTGTAAATATGTTTGGAATTTGGAAATAATAGTTTGCCCAAAAATGGGTTTTAATGGACAAAATTCTCATGCTGAGGAGTTTTGATACCAAACCAAAGCCTATGACTAGATTTCAAAATAAGTTTTATATGGATACTTGAATCATTCAAATCAAAGTAGTGTCCTTAAAGTTATATGCATAGAAAATTTTTGATTTTTAACAGTTTCTACAGTGTGCTAATATAGCACTATGCGCTGTAGTGCACGAAATAGAGAAGGGAATGCCTTCTTTGTGCCCGATGCCATAGCGTGTGACACATATGCTACGGCGTGTGGCACAGTTTTTCTAGAAGTGCTTTGTAACATCCTAAGTTTTCAACTTGGGACTTTAAGTGTTTGAGGAGGGAAAATTTGTCAAAATGTAACATCCTGAATTTCTAATCCTATGATCAGATATTAATCAGGGGTAAAGTTCTAATTAGTAAAGGATTAGATATTTGGATGATTAGTTAACGATTTATGTCCTTTAAATATTGAATAGGCAGATATGAGTGGAAAGATCACATTTCGAGTTGAAGTGTGCGCGGGTGATAAGGATTCTCCTCACTGTGCCATACTCTGCAGTTGATGCTGCCTGCGCCGCAATGCATAACACAGAAAATGACCTAATTAATATGTGGTTAGCTCATGATTTTGGAGGAAAGAAGCAAATAAACATGAGGAAGAGGAGAGAGTAGGGCATTCCTCTAATAGGGCAAGAGTTTATTAGAGCTTGGGCGAGAATTCTGACTAGTAACTTATCGAATAAGCTTTATATATCCCTTACCTCCAATTTTACTATAATTTCTCTAGATATGAGTTATAGAGGAATTGAATCGAGAAAATTTAAGGGGTTTGTTTCTTACTCTATAAAAATGAAAAGGTTTTCGGAAGTTAAATTAGAGTTTTGTAACTGGTTTAGAGTTAAACAGTAGAGTTTTAAACCCATAAGTGCAATTTAGCCCTAATTTTAAAGAAATTTAGGGGTGAAGTCGTGTGTGAGTCAAATGGGATTGTTAAAAGTGATTGAAAGTGGTAATTGAATGGTAGTGAACTCATATTGGTTAATGGAAGGATTGAATGGCTAAGTATAGCTAATAGTAGCAATTTAGTGTTTATGGTCAATGGAATCAATTAACTAATAATGCCAATTGCGTGTAAATTGGCATATTTCGCTTGTGAGTTGAGAAAGGAAGCTTATGATGAGTTGTAGTGGAAATTAAAATCCACGGGTAACCTTTCTTATAACAGAAGGGTCGAGGTAATCGAATAACTTCCTCTATTTTACTATTTATTGTAACTATGTGTAAGTATGATATTTAGTGCATGACAATGTTTTTAAACTAAGTATAATTTATGTCATTTTGTGAATATTGCATGGAAATAGCTTTTGATCAAATAGATAGGTTTAAACATGTGATTTCATACTTTATATATGTGTGCGCGCGCCCGTGTGTGTTAAGTATTGTGGATACATGTGTAGTAGTGAATGGAAACCTGTGATTAGCTCTGAAAATAAGAGTGAGAGTTCACCCAAAGTATGGAGATGTCGAGAAAGATCATATGGCATTATTCTCCTTTGTGCCCGACAGGGTGTGTTGTTGGAGAATTATATCTCCTTAGTGCCTTTTAAGGTGTGATGTTGGAGATTATCTACTTAGTACCTATTGAGATGTGGTGTTAGAGATTAGGACTCTTTAGTATTAATATGATGCAGTGTTAGAGTCAATAACATCTTATTATGTACATTAGGGGAAACCATAGTCTAAAAGTGAGATAAAATACATTTGACTAAGTGATTCTACCACTGAAGGTGAGCTCAGGGCCAATAAGAGTATATATTAGTCTAAGGCAAAACTATAGTTTCAAGTTAGGGTAATTTGGAGGTTCGATCAGTAATGATCATACTATATGTGAAAAGTAGTGAAAAGTGATGAATATAGTTGTAAAAGAAGTGAAATGATATATATTGTTATGATTCAAAATGAAACATGTGGATATGCTATGTTTAATGGTATATTATGCTATACTTTTATATAGTTGAATGTGATAGTCAATAATAGAGAGTTATTCTAATACTAAGATTTTTATTTCACCCCCATGGTTATATTTTTATAGGACAGAGCAGTGAGTTGGATAAGGAAAAAGAGTCTGGACTAGCATAGTAGTGCCGTTGTCATAGAAAGCTTTGAGTTTGTGTAATGAACTAAATTAATGTGAATAACGTGTAAATAAGTTGTCATAAGAATTGCATACATTTTAAAGTGGTGATTTGTAGAGAATTGTAGTTATTTTTGTGAATCTTAGCCCATATGTGAGAATATGTGGCGAAATGCTTGACTGGGCTAAGATTGAAGTTGTGAATATGTGGTAAATATGTAAAGCGGTGATTTTGTAAGGAAAATGGCCAAGTAGGTTAGTTTGTGCCAAATTGAGAAAAATCTATGTTTGTGGAAATGGGTCGTAGAATGGCCAAATTGTGATATATGTGTGTATATGATATAAAATGTGATCAATCATGTGTAATAGGTCATTTTGGAGTTAGTTCAAGGCTCAGTATAGTCTAATGAGATTGAGGGATTGATTTAAACACTTAGGTGCATTAAATTTTTATAAAAAGTGAAGTTTTGCACCTGAGGTGTCCAAAATTTGATTAGACCATTGGATCATATCTAAACCTATCTCATTAGTTAGCTTTTGAGATAAACTACATGTGGGCGCTTGAATTACTCTAATTGGACATCGTATGTGAAAATAGCACACGCTGAAAGTTCATCATTTGAGTTGTCAAATGACAGCTATAGAATTCAGCTTGTGCATTGTAACATCTTGAATTTCTTAATCCCGAGTTTGGTAGTTAATCATAGGAGGATGGTAATAAGTGTGGGATTAGAGATGCGGATGATTACTTGATGATTTGACTTATTGGTGTGTTGTATGGGTAGATATGAGTGAGAAGAGTGCGTTTCGGGTCAAAGCAAGTGCACGTGGTAAGAATGAATCTCATTGTGCCACGGGCCGCAGCTTGTGTTGCATGTGCCGCAGCGCATAGACTAGAAAATCACTTCTTAAGTCATGAAATTTGGTGAGTTTTAGAAGTGAAAACCTGAGAAACACATGAGAGAGGAGAGGTGAAGGGCTGAGAAGCTAA